AAACTTCACTTCCTGTTGTCTGTAAAGACTAATGAGGCAAATATTAATAAAATTAAGTTTGAAATTTTCAGTATTCTCTGATTTTAGTGTGGAAAGAGAATTAGCTTTAGTTTTATTTTTCTGTATTTTCTTTTCATTTTAAAGTCAAACATTGAATAAGGAATGTTAACAATGAGTTATTTTTAAATTTAATCTCTTCTTTGTCAGGTTTTGTGTGCTCTAAATGCAACATAAACCATAATTTGGAAAATAAAATTAGTATAATAAGAATAATTTGCTTTTGTTTCAATAAATATTAACAGAAATTGGCTCTTGATCTGGACTAAGTGTGGAACTTTCGTTCCCTTGTGAATTCGACCCTCCTGTGTTACAGTGTTACATTTTGACAGTAATTTAGAGTCTGATTAGTTTAAATGTTGTAATTTATTGCACTGATCTTTGTCACCAAGGCGTTTCACCCAAATCAACATATTTGATATTGTTGGTGTTTTAGCTACAGAAGAAGCAGCTCTATGTTTTCCTGCCTTCCTCCGTCAGACACTGATGAATTGTTTAATTCAGATCATGGAAACAGCTCTATGATGGAGAGACTGAAGGAAGATCCTCCACAGAACAAAAAGACATTAGTCATTTTGTGAAAATAAACTTGGTTATAGTTATTTTATAAACACTACAAAAATTGTCATTACTAGTTTTTGTTCTGTTGTTGTCAGTTTGTTACAGAAACCAACCTGTAGAGTTGAATATTAAACATCTGTATCAGACAGAAAACATCTGATTTAAAATAGATAAATATGCACAATGAACAAGATGTGTCTGTAATGCCACATTATTAGGACCCACTGATTCCGTGCACCGGACAAGGTGCTCTCTTTTTACATTTGAGCACCTGCCCCTGAAAATGTCTGTGCACGCTCCTGGTCATGGAGACTCTTTGCTTTGTGACCCAGCTGCAGAGCCCGGTCCTGAACCACTGTCCTCTGTGGACCTCCTGGTCTTACCTCCTCCAGAACCTTGTTGTTCCTCTGAATGTGTCAGATGCTGATGGTTTTACCTCTAGGCTCAGCTGCAGATCTAACAAAATAAAACCTCTGAACCAACCTGTCAGTTCTTGTCCAATAAGATCAAACTGAACCTCGGGTCCAGGGAGAGGAGGAACCGGTCTAGATCATGTCTGAGATACTTCTAGTTACAGTTTAAATTCTTCTCTAATCCCGCTTTTTGGAGGTGGAGCTGCAGACCTCAGGGTTTGATAAATTCTGAACATTTTTAAGTTCTTTTAACAGGACAGACAGTTTCAAATATTTATTATTTTGCTTCGTTGCCTAGAATGAAAAAAACAAAAGTTTTTTGAAACGATGAGTATTTATGCAGTTTTTTTAATGATCTAGTTTGAGTACGTTACTTGTAAATTTTGGGGGAAAAAATTATGCTTTTTGGACACGTGAAAGATTCTCAAAATAAAAAGTGGTACATACTTTGGAAAAATATATATACATTATATACATATATATGGATTTATTTCCAGTTAATAATTTAAAGATTGTAAAATAAAAAAGGTGAGTGACTTTAGAGAACAAAGACAAGTTTACTACACACACACACACACACACACACACACACAC